AGATTTATCTGAACATATTTATAGACTTATTTAAGCTACTCTAAATTCCTCTACGCCTCTTGATAGTCATAAGGATACCATCTGAGCACTTCTGTCATCAAAATATAAGGGTCATTTTCTTTTCTGCATAGTTCAGAAAATTGTCATTGTTGTGGGCCCCAGAGTCAGATGGAGGCAGTACAAACCTACACCCTACTATGTCCTCATTCTATGGCCTTGGGCAAGCTTTCAATCTGTGTCCCTCTTTTTCTGTCTTACAAATGGGGGTAATCATAGTACTTACCTCAAAGAGTTATCTTTAGGATTACATCAGTTAATGTTTGGAGAACATTTAAAATTATGATTTTCACACATGAAATAAGTACTTATTATAATATTTATAATAATAATACTTATAAGTATTATTTCGTACTCAAATAAATATGAAAGTATTACTAATAAGTATTATTATTTCATGTATTATTTCATATTCAATCAAAGTTACAGAAATGTATTCTTTTAAGGAAGGGGCACAGTATAAAAAGAGTGCTAATAACATGATAATAGGTCTCATGCCATCAGTGGCCATTTAGAAAGTAAAGGGGTGAGGCCAGATGTGGTGGCTCGCACCTGTAATCCTAACACTTCGGGAGGCCAAGGCAGGAGAATCACCTGAGCCCAGGAACTCAAGACCAACATGGGCAAAATAGTGAGAAATAATCTCTACAGAAAAAAAAAAATTGATTAGCCAGTGTGATGGTTCATGCCTAAAGTCCCAGTTACTCAAGAGGCTGGAGTGGGAAGATCACTTGAGCCTAGGAGTTTGTCACTGCAGTGAGCTATGATGGCACCACTGCACTCTAGCCTGGATGACAGAATGAGAAGCTGTGAAAGAAAGAAGGAAGGAAGAAAGGAAGGGAGGGACGGGGAGGGGAGAGAAGGAGAGGAGAAGGGAAGGGAGGGGAAGGGAAGAAAGAGAAAAAAGAGAAAGAAAGAAAAAAATAACGAAGGAAGGAACAAATAAGTTTCTTTACATAAAGTATGTGACTAAGAATAAAATAGAAATAGGGAGTTTCCGTTGATAATTCTGTTGAGCTGTTAGTTCATGAAGACATCAGAAGGAGGAGAAAGGAAGAAAAGACAGTGATGTTGCCTGGACGAAGGGACAATCAGCATAAATGGTAAAGGTGTAATCAAGAAGGAAGACACATCTGGGCTCCCTGTGAACACATGTGCCTTCCCATTCCGAAGGCCTCAGATACCACCACCACCGCCTTCCTTAAGAGGATGCTATGGAATACATCACTTGTCTTTGGGATTAGATTTTAATACATGCTGCCTGAGTCTCTAGCCTAGATATTAAAGAAAAAAAAAAAAAAGCAGAAGAGAAGGATATCGAACATGCACTATCTCCTAATAAACCAATTTCCTGATAAACAATGGCAGTGTTTTAAGTTGGGTACTACATTTGGTACAAAGAGGAGGGTAAAAACAAATGTACAAAGCATTGAGACAATAAAGAGAAAAGTGATTTCCTAATTAATAAGACAGCACAGTGTAGAATTACTTGATGGATTCAGTCATCTAGGGCTGAGAGAACTCAGAAGGGATCCACAGCTCCAGATGTTTCCCTCCCATATAGGGTACGACTTAAAGATGGGTCTTGCAGAACAAAAAAAAAAAAAAAAAAAAAAAAAAAAATGTATGTAAAGGGCAACAAGCGCTATCATTATAGGGCCAGATCAGAACGATTAATCTCTTCTTAAAAACTGAGATGCTTAAAAGATCTCTTAAGAAGGTGCCATTGAATTGCTCAAAATAAGAGGATAACCCAAGAATCAGGGGAAAAAAAAACAAGCCTGGAAGGAAATGGGGAGAAAAGACTGTTTCTCATTGTCCTGGGAAGAGAGTGGAAAGGAAGAGGGTGATCTCAGAACATTCATTACAGAAGAAATGACTATAGATTTAAAACTGTATGAGCTAGACAGATAAATGGATTTAAGTATGTGTAAATCATAAGACTATTATTATGCCTATGTTATAAGTGTGTACTTCTCTTGCCGTTAATACATTACTCTAGTCATTGTAATGAACATTTCATAGTCCAGGAAATGTTTTAAAGCAAGAAATTATATGAAAGCTCAGCCTGTCTAAGATCATCTTCCTCTCTTCCTTTAATGACTAGAGTATCTTATGTACAGTATCTAAGGCAAAAATAACAACCATATCAACAGCAGTACACTGTATATTCAAAGAACAAAAACAAATCAGTATGACAACGTGATGTGGATTCAATTATCACTTGGCAGGTCATGAATAACATTTAAACAACCTCCTTTTCAGTTGGAAAGTGTAAAAACATACAGTGATCATGGCACCAGAGTGCCTTCCTTACAGTATGCTGACAGGCAGAGATGTTCATCTGAAGAGCTAAGCCTTGCTTACAAAGGAGGGAAACAGAACATTGCTCCTTGGGCCACTACTAGGCTCTGCAACAGTCCCTTGTCCCAGGGGTCTTCCTCTCAGAGTATATTCAAAGCCAATTTGAAATTTCCCTCTGATTTTCAGAGGTTTTTACATAAGAATAGAGGGAAAGAAAAGAAAAAAAAAGTTGGTGCAATCATTTTGGAAACAGATAAATGATAAATATGGTAAAGAAAATGCTACTGAATTGTTAAATATCCTCATAATATCAGGGCAAGTGGCGTAATTATATACCCTGTTGGTTAGGGCAAGTTGAACGTCTTGTTTCAAATCAACAAGAAAAGTCTTAAAGAACAAAAACTGTTAATTGGCTACATAAGAACAGCCTAGGGCTCACCCTAGAGAGTACAGTGAGACTAGCGGTCAGGCAGGCATGCCACGCCAGTGCACCTTATCTTGGTTTTAATGACTGGACACCTATCTGGGATGGGAGAACTTCACAGCACTGAAACACACCCTTTGGTCTGAAAACTCCAATTATGCCCAACTGTGCAAAGCCAGGTGCATGTGGCTTCCCCGGTTTCATAGCCTGACTAGTGCTCATTCTTGAGGACTCTGACAGTTGCTAAGGGGAATGGGCTTCATGCCCCAGAAAGTAGAATATGACATGGGAAATATCAGTCAGATTTACTGCTCCATTCCATGTGTCTTGCATATTACTATAATCTGTGCAAGACATTTGTTGTAAATAAGCCTGCAGAGTGTACAGCATGTTTTCCAGGAGACCTTTAAAGAACAGCTTGCAGACAAGAGGTGCTAGCCTTAGTTTCACAGCCAGCAAAACTCCATCCAAGAGGCTGTTGGCATGTCCTCACCTCTTGTTTCGAGCTGGCTTCAAGACAACTTCACCAACCCAATTCCAAGGGTGAGTACCTGGAGTTAGTGACTGTAAGGTATTCCACACAAATAGTAAGTGGAAACTCAGACATTTAGATCAACATTTAGAAAAGACTCACTTTTCCCGTAAGAGTGTATCAAAAACAACTGAGAGCTGACTTTGCAATGAGGCATTTGCCGTAGTAAATTAAATGGCTGAAGCTTGTGCTTCTTCCAGCACGAGAAAGCACTGAGCTTCATCATAACTCAGTGTGTACAATCACTGAGGCTGATTTTTAAACCTCCCCTGCTTCTTAAAATGCCTGCTCCATTAAAAGGAGAAAAAAAAAAAAACTTTTCAGGAAATGAAATGCAAATAGGCATAGAACAGGATCATACAACGGAGAGCCTCTATCGACCTCTTTAAAAAAAAAAAAAAAAAAAAAAAAGAATCTTTCTGGGCAGCCGGACTGCTTTTAACACACTATAAGCTTTTATTTTTTAAAAAAAAAAGAGAGAGAGAGAGAGAGAGAGAGAACATCGGTTCTTTTGTGCTCGTTCTCAACCCTTTCCCGTTTTCAGTCTCCCGGCTGGTCGGAATATGTTCACAAGAGTGAACAGAGCAGAAGGTGAGGTGGTCACCTCAGCTCCACCTCCCAGGCAAGTGCACAGTAAATCATTTAACGGTATCACATATTCTAAGCCTAATGGATAGCACACAGAGAAGGAAAAAGGGAGAGAAGGGCTGGAAGGCAAAGCTTCCGAATTTTTTTCAAAGGTAAAGCTGTACTTGAGCTGAGTCTGAAACTGCCTCTGATCATCTTCAAAACAAGTCCTTGGGATTTATCTTTAAGTTGATGCTTCCTGTCCTCGCTCAAGGTGGAGCTGAAGCCAGTTGCGAAATTTCCCTCTGCTGGAGTCCAGAGGATCCAAGAAAATGCAGTCTCGGCTTCTAAGTCGGAAAGAAGCAGAGGTTTCCCTGCTGCTCTGTGGGACCCGCGCTTCTAATCGGAGTAGGCGCCGGGGTGGAAGAGGAGGCGCCCGGTGAGCAGCCTCCGGCCAAGTGCTCATCCCGGCTGGGCACTGCGGGCGCAGTTAAACCGAGATGGTGCATGCTGCTCTCCCGAGCTCCTGCACACAGGCGGCCTCTGCCAAGCCAAGCCCAGGGCTGGCTGGGACCTCAGGCTAAGGTCGCCCGAGGGGTGCCATGCTTGGTGCAAGGCGAGGGGACATCAGCATGGATGTTCCTCCCCTAAGAGAAAAGATGCCCTCTCTGTTCAAACCCACTCTACAAATATTCCCATCATCCGGCCCCTTTCCACAGGACCTCCCTGCCATCGCTATGGGCGCCCACCTACGACCAAGATCGGCTTGAAAGCAAGTGGAGAGGACAGGGGAGAGAGAGACTGGAGTGAAGACCGGGGTACTCCAGTCTGCAGCAACTGGGGAGGGCTTGGAAAATGGAGCAGGCGAGGAGAGTCAAGGAAAAGGGTAGGGGCCCGGGTCACAGCAACCTGTAGGATTGCGGCAGATCGCAAACTTGGGTTGGAAGGCTGTGATCCCCTCGGAGTCCTCTACTCGGCTCCCACCCGGTAGGGCTTGGCGCGCGGAAAGGTGCAGGGCGCAACTTGGGAAGCCCACGCCATCGGTGCGGGCCGCGCTCCGTCTGGCTGGCGCCCCTGCGCCCTCGCCCTCAGCTGCCCGCTCCGCCCAGCGCTTACCTCGGGCAGCCGCAGCCCCTGCCGCCCAGAAGCACAGCCCCAGCCACGGGAGCCAGAGGGACGCCCCTCCGCTGCCGCCTCCGGGGGCCGCCGCTCTCCCCATGCTCCTCGCCGCGCTCCGGAGGACGGCTCTACTTCACGCTCCTGGGGCCGGAGAAAGGCTCGGCGATGCAAGGCCGGAGTCGAGTGGGTCCCGGGGGTCTTGAGAGAGTGACTCTGCTCCACGATCGCTTCCTAAAGCTGCGGGGCAGGGCGCTCGGAGCCGCCGCTGGATGGGCACCCTGAGAAAGGGCGCGTCCCCATAGCTTCCCACGGAGCGGCGAAGCTGGAGTCGCCCGCCGTCCCCGCCGCGCAGTTCCCAGCCCTCGCGCAGCTGCCCGGCCCCGGACTACGGAACGGAGGCGCGAGTCCGCATCGCCAATGAGACCCCCGCGGCCGCCCCTTCCCCTCCCCTCCGAGCGGCAGCCAATGAGCCGGGCCGGGGCGGGGCGGCGGGAGGGGCGGCGGGGCGGCAGCGCGGAGCGGGGGCCCTGGAGGCGCAGGTGAGCCCGAGGCGGCTCCGCGTGCCCCTAGGGCGCTTAGGGCCCCACCTGCAGTCCCAGCTCGCGGAGAAAGGAAGCGGGCCGGGAGCCCAGCAGCCGGGCTGCGGCCATGCCGCGGGGAGCTGAGCAGAGCCGGCGGGCCTCTTGGGCTGACGCGCAGATACGTGGGCATCTCGGTTGCCTAACTCAGAGTCCTTGCTTCCAGCAGACCTCGGTTTTGTTCGTCTAGTCTGAGCCCTTCCAAAGTCCTGCCTCGCCTACTTCCACTTTTTCCTATTAGATCAGACATCACTCAGGAAAACATCCTGAGAAAAAGACTTAAAATAAATGCAAAGTGGGAGAAAATAATAATGGAGTTACTCCATTGCTGCAACTATGCTAACTATGCATGCATATAAAGAAAGAATTGGGGAATAACATTCGTGGGTGCATTAAGGCTTCTGTGATCAGTTTTTATTTTTGCTTTCTTTTTTTTCAAATTCCCTTTTCTGTTGTCCTGAACACTCCGGAATCCCCAAACTTTTCAGAAGCTCCCTCATTTCTGATGACTCCCGTTTTTGCCAGTTTTAATCTGAGCCCAGGGAATTATCATTCTGGTAAGTATCAGGGAAAGAACTGTCGACTTAAGGAAGAAGTTGAGGCGAAATTAACATAAGTGAGAGTTTATTTGGGTCAAGTTTGAGGATTATAACTCAGGAGTATAGATTTAAGTTGCTTTGAATATATATTTTAATTAGTAGTAGCTATAAGCAGATTTTAAAGGGAAAAATGAGGGATGGGGACTGGACTGATGTAAAGTTGTTTGTTAGAAATTTGTACTGGTTTATTAAAATAATATTGATTAGTGATTGGTTATACATAGCTAAGTCATAGGATGTGGCTTATAGTGTTTGATGTGGTATTATCAGTTTAATTTACAGTTATTTGTAGTAATAATATGTAGTTACAAGAAGTGAATATATTGTTTAAAGAAAGGAGTAGGGCAAGATCGTGGTCTCATTCTAATGTCTCTTTGGCCTGACAATTAAAAGGACTTTGAAAGGAAAGAAGACTCTTTTCTTAAGTGTGGTTTGTTTTAGATAGATTATCAAATTTGTATTTAACAGCTTTTGAAAATACCTCACCTCACGGTTGCCTCTTCCCTCTGCTGAAGGAGTAGAGTAACTTTAGAGAACTTGTCCTAGGTCACAATTTCAGAGCACACTAGGGAAGTTGGTGGGGAGTCCCAGACTCCCCAATTGGACCACCACATTATCACTCCCAGGATTGAAACCTCAAAATGACAACATAGCTCACCTTTTGCCTGGTAATCCCCAATAGAAAAGGGAGCCTTGTTTTGAAAGGCAACCTTCCCAGCACTTCCGCACTGCCCATGATCAATATCAAGTACTTTTCAAAAACCGTGTCTCCCGCCAAACTGCTACCTGCTCCCAAACACCTTTTTCAGAAGAATAAACAGTTTAAGGTGAAGTAATTACTCTGGATAAGGTAACTGCACTAACTCACTTTCTTCTGAGGAAGAGGAGGATGATAGGCAAGAAGGATTGATTCCCTGATAAGCACATGCACCAGCCCTCCCCTGAGTGCCACCAGGCACGTGAATATCTGTACAAGAAGCTGATTGTTTCCTCTGGTTGCCTTGCGGCTCAATAAAAGGTTTGGGACCTAGTCAAGGAAACCAAGCTCTGGGGAATGGATGCTTCAAAGCAAAGACTGATGTGAGGCTGGCTAGGGACTTGTCTGGAAATCTCTTTAGAATCTTGGTAAATGAGGGTTTTGTCCTTTTCTGCTCAGAAGGTGAATTCAGAATTAATCTACCAAATATGCTTTACCTGTCTTCTGGAAAATAGTCATTCATTGCCTGACTTTCCTTATTCTTCAGGACTCTGTGGCAGTTCTGTCACAAATGAGGATTTTCTTTAAAAAGGAAAAAAAGAATTACTGTGTGTTCAAGAGAGTATTTAAGTCTTACTACTGACCCACAGGGGCAAAAGTAAAAGTTTTATTTTGAAATGGAATGCAAGGAATAGATAAGCTAATTTTAGGTTAATAATTCAAGTAAAATTGCAATGACAAATGAGAGTGAAGGGGAAATTAATAACCTTTGAGTGCATACCATGCTCCAGGATTGGGTCTTTCATGCAGATTATTATTTTAAAGCAGAACCAAACTCTGCAAGGTAGCCGTTATTATTCCTACTAAGCAGGTGAGGAAAGTCAGATAGAGTTTAGAAGTGATTTGCCCAAGATCACATTAGTAAGTGGCTGAATGTTATGAATGATGAACTAGTTTGTATAATTCTAAACCCAAGAGGAAGGCTAAGATAGTGTCCATTCAGTCAGGTTTTCCAGAGATAGACTGTCTACCTCATCCTCCTCAGAACTGTTTAGAAACTAGGTTGACAAAAGTTGGATCTTCAGCATTATACACACTGTATTAATTGCACATCACATATTAATTATGTTGCAGATAGTAATATACCCTATATTGATCTAATCTTGGCTATTTTAAAACATGTATGAATTGTACTCTATTCCATTATGGAGAAATATTTATACCCATTTAGAGAAATAAGTTGAGTAGTGGCTGCCTAGAATCACTTTCTCTGGCCAACAAATAGCAGCATGTAAAAGAAGAACTGTCCTGAGATTCAAGACAGACAGATGCTAGGCCCTGACACTACTAGGGACTGGTTAGATAGTCTGGGTCAAGTCAGAATTTCCTATTTCCTCTTTATAAAATGAGAATGTTTGACTAGATGATTTTAAGATCCCTCCTATTTTAGGAGCCATCATTTTTAACTCTACCATGTTATAATTTTGAATATCTAAAATATTCAACTCATGAGGAGTTTGCCCCTTAACCTAATCATCTCCCAAAGGTCTCACCTCCTAATATCATCACATTGGTAATTAGGTTTCAACATATGTATTTGGGGGAGAAACAAATGTTCCAACCACAGCACCAGCTAATATTAATTCAATGAACAGACTTTGTGAAGTGTTTTTCTCAATGATTTGTAGTTTGAATTGACTACACCCATTTTCTAACACTCTACTCATAAAGGTAAAGATAGAGAAAGTTTCTACTTCCATTGCTAGATCATCTCTATCCCAGCAAATTCCAAAAAAAAAAAAAAAAAGAATAGAAAATATTTCAGTCATACTTGAAGGAGAGGAGTTAGAGATTGAGCATGGATAAATGAGCCCTTCCACATATAATGAGTATTTTTTAAGTGGTTTATTATAATTACTTAAGAAGAGCTCTGTGTTTTTCTGGAATACATTGTTTGAACAACATACATTGTATAAGAGTGTCATAAAACTCCAAGAGATATTAAAGAATGTAGAAATATTCTCCATGAGTAAGGGGGAATAATTTATAGTTCTAGGAGACGGAGAAGGCAGAGGGGAGCCAAGGAATTGGTGAAAAGCCAAGTCTGCTAAGATATGGCCTTTCTCCTTGCAGCTGCGAATCATCATTACGGTTACAAAGGTGATAGAAATCCTTATGAGAAATGGTGAAGGCAATGGACAGGCACATCTCATTTCATGGCACTTCACTTTATTGGACTTAGCAGATATTGTGGGGTTTGCTGTTGTTGTTGTTGTTGCTGTTGTTGTTGTTATTTTAACAAATTGAAGGTTTACAGCAAAGGTGCATTGAGAAAGTCTATCAGTGTCATTTTTCTCCAGGTGCATGTGCTCACTTCATTTCTCTGTCACGTTTTAGCAGTTCTCCCAGTAATTCAAACTTTTCCATTATTATTACATCTGTTATAGTGATTCTGTGATGAGTGATCTTTGCTGTTGTTGTAATTGTTTTGGGACCTCATGAACCATGCTCATATAAGACAACTTGATTTATCAGTGCTGTGTGCTTTCTGACTGCTCCACTGAGTAGCCATCCCCCATGTGCCTTTCTCTCTCTCCCTTTCTCTGTCTCCTTAGGCCTCCTAATTCCTTGCTACTTAAACACATTGAATTAGGTCAATTAATAAAATCAAATGCTAGACACAATTAAATTCACTGAAGAATGCATGTTGAAGCAAAGATAGGCCAAAAGCTAGGCTTCTTGTACCAAACAGCCAACTTGTGAATGCAAAGGAAAACTTATTGAAGGAAATTAAAAGTTCTACTCCAGTGAACCCACAAATGATAAGAAAGCAAAATAGCCTTATTGCTGATATGTAGAAAGTTCGAATAGTCTAAATAGAAGGTCAAAAATTTCATGACATTCCCTTAAGGTAAAGCCTAATCCAGAGGAAAGCCCTAACTCTCTTCAATTCTATGAAGTCTGTGAGAGATGAGGAAGCTGCAGAAGAAAAGTGGAAGACAGCAGAGGTTGATTCATGAGGCTTAATGAGAGAAGCCATTTCAGTAATATAAAAATGCAAAGTGAACCCACAGGTGCTGATATAGAAGGTGCAGCAAGTTATCCAGAAGATTAGCTAAGGCTCATTGATGAAGGTGACTGCACTATATAATAGATTTTCAGTGTAGGTGAAACAGCCTTCTATGGGAAGGAGCTGTCTAGGACATTTATAGCTGGAGAGGAGAGGTCAATACCTGACTTCAAAACTTCAAAGGACAGGCTGACTTTCTTGTTAGGGTGTACTGCAGATGGTAACTTGAAGTAGAAGCCAATGCTCACTGACCGTCCAAAAATCTTAGGACCCTTAAGAATTATGCTAATTTTTCTCTGCCTGTGCTCTATAAATGGAACAACAAAAACTGGGTAGCAGCACATCTGTTTACAGCATGTTTTTTGTTTCTTTTAATTTTTGTTGTTTTTTTTGAGACAGAGTCTCACTCTGTCACCCAGGCTGGCATGCAGAGATGCAGT